TTGGCAACTACGTCAGCCAGTTCCCTCAGGACTCTGGGATGCATCTCATCAGGTCCCATGGACTTCTGTATGTTTAGGTTCCTCAGGAGGTCCCAAACCTGATCTTCACTTACAGCTGGAGGGATTTTACCCTCCTGGTCTCCTTCATGCCATCCATGATGAAAAGAAGTTGTTGATTGGCTAATAATTTATCCCAGCTATTTCATTAATACCAATAGGAAAACACCAACTTATACTGATGGAAGGATGAGCAATATGATTGTCTCTTACTCTTCTGGTGTGGGGCACAGTTTTGCATTACAGCGAAGTGTGTGATGACTGCAAGTACTTCCAGCTAGCTGAATCTGTGTGTTAAATGAGTTAGTAGTATTTATAGTTTCCAGTGCATACATTTTAAAATCCAGCTGAGAAATAAGCCTCTGAGCTAAAGTAATACCAGACTCCGGGAAATGACTCTTTCAAGATTGTTTGAAACCTGTAGGACAAGTGGGGACGTTTACAATTCTACTTCTTTGCAGTGCCTGTTCTGTGAACAGTGGAACTTTAGTTTCTAAATCTGCCTGTCTTACATCTTCCACTTTTAAGGGGAAAAAAAAAAAAAGAGCTTTTCTTTAAATGATAGTCATTTATGCAACACTTAGCTTTTTAATACCCTGATGGCTTTCACAGGAAGGTACTTAGAGACTAAAAGTGTCATGAAAGTGATGCTCTTTCTTTGATGGGAGGGGTTCAGCTCTGTCACTTTTCAACTCCTTATTTTTAGATCCGCACAGTGTCTACTGTCTTCCTTACTGACTTCAGAGTTAATGGTTCGTATGTGGTTGATAAAAAGGGCTGAAATTTGAATTTTGGGGAAGGAAGTTTCAGAATGTTGTTGAATATTCCATCACTAGCCTCACAGCCTGAATGATTTCCATAGAGTGCAGCAAAACCTATTACATATGCTACTGGTCAGCAAAGCAAAAAGGTCTCCATTTTGCTTTTGTACACTTAATGGAAGTGTTTGGTCATGTGCTCTTATGTCATAATCCTGCTTCTTTTTATGATGGAAAGCTAAGGAAGGTTTTTGTCAGATTTAAACAGTCTGAAGAAGACAAAGGTTCCAGAAAGCCGAAGGAAAAATATACCCGATACTTGCTCCACTTTACTTGTGGAGAGAGCAACTCTGTGTACTATTGAATGGCGTACTTGACGTGTAAGTGCCTGAGAAGGAGAAGCTGCAGGTAGAGTTGTGATGAAAATAGGAGAAGAAGGATATTTGGACATGAGACAGGGGTATGAAGTTGTGGCGAAATATTTCCCTGGTGTCTAGTATGTCTAGTACCGAGACAGGTCTGGAAAAAATGTCTAATAAGCAGAAAAGCATAACTATTAGAGATATCAGAACTTAAATATTTTGTATAAAACGTCAAGAATTCAAATGTAAAGGTCTTGAAAAGGTGTGAACTAAGATAGCAGTTTTTTACTATTCAAGAGGAAACATTTTGCTGAGAAACCTTACTTTCATCATGCAGACATTTCAGCTTTCACAGGAGATACTTGTACATATCCGTGTTTTTAATGTTTCTCTGATTTACCGCAATTTTGTGGTGCTCTGAGGTCATAACTTGTGTTTTGTCTAATAAGCTGAAACATTACTGGTAAGATACCTGTTTTCCACGGTTTGCTTCCTATTGGTTGCCATTTTATTGTTATTTTGACTCAGTCCATGTCTTCATCTGTGGTTGGGTATGGTGGTAAACTTTTGCTATGACCAAGGTCAACTACAGAAAGTTACACTGAAATCTAAGAATAACGCGTGGTTTTACTCTGATCAAGCATTCTGCTTCGTTCTACTGTTATAATCTCAGTGTACCCTGAATCTATGAGCTCTGGCTTGACTGCACTGTGCCTAGGAGTTAATGTATTTACCTTAAGTGTGAACATGGTTTTTTTCAGATTAACTTAGAATGTTTTTAATCTTGAAAATAAATGTTTCCTTTCCTTCCAGCCTCTAGCCCATTTAGTACTCATTTTTCTTCATAAATGCAGATGGTTTTGAAGTAGGGAATTTGTAGCTACAGTCTGATCACCTAATTGACACTACAGATCAAGTATTAACTGCTAATATTTACACTTCTCTGTTAATCCATAGCAGCTGAGACGTAAATATTTCTTGGAAACCAGTTTGGCATTTGATATCTGCATGTAATTTCACTGTCATCACTTGAGTTTAGCTTTATCTAGCAGTAGATACCATTCAAGGGGAATGCATTTTGTAATGCTACAGTTGTTTTCCTTCAAAAATAATGTAGCCAAATATGAGAAGGAATTCTTAATAGCCCAATTTTTAGATGTAGACTTCTTTTAAAATTTTCAGCAATTAAATGTGTCTTACTTGTAATGAAAAAGTATATTAAAATGTAATGATTTTATTTCTTTTACAGAGGGGCAGTTAAGACACATAAAGACTGGGGAGCCGTTTGTTTTTAATTATCGTGAAGATTTGCATAGATGGAACCAAAAGCGCTATGAAGCTCTGGGAGAGGTATATAAATTGTGTGTGTGTGTGTATATGTGTGTGTATGTGTGTGTATGTATCAGTGTGCTGTGGTTTGTGTTGTGTTTCTGTGTAGAAATGATATTTTTATACAAGTTGGTAAAGATTTAGTGAGGCTGCCGTCATTTAATGAAAGATATTTCAGAATTTGTTGTGTGTTAATGCTCCAATTCTAATTTCCATTATTTACTGTACAACTTAAGATGTGATTTAGACTACAGTTTGACTTTAGTATATGTTCAAAATAGAATATCATCCAGATTACGCAAATCAGAGAGTATTATTTTCTTTAACTTTCTTCTCAAGGTGAAGCACTGAGTACAAAACTGTATCATTTTACTTTCTAGCTGAAGATAAATGCATTGGCTGGCTTGCCCATGTTACCAGGAGATTTCAGGAGCCGCTAGATTGATGAAGTAGAGATTTGATGATCAATTGATTAAATATTTGTTAGTGTATTAGAAGTTTGGATGCTACTGGTACTTCCTAGGCTTTTTGTTGCGTATATAGTAGGTGTAAAAATGACTGACCATAGCTCCTTTTCTGTGTGAAAGTGACTTGAATTTCAGTGCCATGCTTTTTATAATGCTGTAGGAATCAGAATATTGACTTAGAATCATAGAACTGTACAATCGTTAAGGTTGGAAAAGACCTCTACGATCATCAAGTCCAACCCATCACAGAATCACAGAATGTTTGGGGTTGGAAGGGACCTCTGGGCATCACCCAGTCCAACCCCCCTGTCAAAGCAGGGTCACCCAGAGCAGGCTGCACAGCACCGTGTCCTGGCGGGTCTTGAATATCTCCAGAGAAGGAGACTCCACAACCTACCTGGGCAGCCTGTTCCATTGCTCCATCACCCTCAGAGGGAAGAAGTTCTTCCTCATGTTCAGATGGAACTTCCTATGCTTCAGTTTGTGCCCATTGCCCCTTGTCCTGTCGCTGGGCACCACTGGAAAGAGTCTGGCCCCGTCCTCCTGACACCCACCCTGCAGATATTTGTAGGCATTTATAAGGTCCCCTCGCAGCCTTCTCTTCCCTGCTGGCCACACTCCTCTTGATGCACCCTAGGATCCCATTGGCCTTCTTGGCAACAAGGCACGCTGCTGTCTCATGGTTAACCTGTCCTCTACCAGCACTCCCAGGTCCCTCTCTGCAGAGCTGCTCTCCAGCAGGTCCGCCTCAAGCCTGTACTGGTGCCTGGGGTTGTTCCTTCCCAGGTGCAGGATCATCACCGTGCCTGCTAAACCATGTCCCGAAGTGCCCCATCTACATGTTCTTTGAACCCTTCCAGGGATGGGGACTCCACCACTGCCCTGGGCAGCCTGGTGCAACGCCTGACCACTCTTCCAGTAAAAAAAATTTTCCTACTATCTGTTCTAAACTTCCCCTGCTGCAACTTGCGGCCATTTCATCTCATTCTATTGCTAGTTACCTGGGAGAAGAGACCAACACCCACCCCGTTACAACTGTCTTTCAGGTGGTTGACTTGAGAAGAAGGGCAGCTGATCTCAGTGAATGCATAACGGTGTGTGCTGAGGTCTTCCTTGCACTGTCACAGCCTCCCTGGCCCGACTGGAAGAACAGCCTCAGCACGCTCACCTCTAGGCAGTCATGCTGCTCACATCAGAGTGCCTTTTGGAGGCCCAAGAAAGGGGATGCACAGTTCTGGACACAAAGTAGGGTCTTTTCCCTAGAGACTAATGTTGCCTGGCAGTTTCTGTTGGGATCATCATGGCATGTCATTTAAGACCTCAAGGCTTGTCTACTTTTGTTAGCATTATTGTTTTAGTAAGAGTTAAACACATTTATTCCCCGCTTACTCTTTCTGTTACACTTATTTACACTACTGAGGGATGTGCTTGATTGTGCAAGTTTACACATTTTGTGTTTTAAACTTTCTAGTTGTCATGGTCTAACCCCAGTGGGCAGTTCAGCCCCTCACAGCTGCCCATTGACTCCCCTCCATGGGATGGGGGAGAGAATCAGAAGAGTAAAAGTAAGAAAATTTGTGGGCTGAGATGCAGTTTAAGAGGTGAAGCAAGAGCTGTGCGCTTTAGTGAGGAACTAATTTGCTGCTTTTCATCAGTGGGCAGATGTTTAGCCATCTCCAGGAAGGCAGGACTTCTTCATGCTTAGTGATGACTTGGGAAGACAAACACCTTACTGCAAGATAACTCCGAATGTCTCCCCTTCCTCCTCCTTTCCCCCAGCTTTTATCGCTGAGCATGGCACCATATGGCGTGGAATATTCCTTTGGTCAGTTGGGGTCAGCTGTCTGGGCTGTGTCCCCTCACAACTTCTCACACATCCCCAACCGGTAGGCTTGTGTACTAAAAAGAAAACTAAAATGTCACAAATGACAGCCAGTCCTGCACTGTTGCAAAGTAAATAGTGTAAAACGTCTTCATTGAGTTTCTTGAATGGATAAATAAGTATATACTTAATTGTAACCAAATGGTTTCATATAGTTTCTGATGCTGCCAAGAGTACATTTGTTAGATCTGAAGAAATACCTAATTACATCGGCTTTTCTAGGTGTACCAGGGTGAGCTCTGGGAACTTCTGTAGGCACTGAGTGTGCAGGCTCGAGAAAGGAGCGCACAGCAGAAGGCTCTGCCCGCCCTCATTAGCAGGAATGGCATGCCATCTGTGCTT